ACACCACATTGCCACAGGATTACACCGTGATCTCTGAGGACCACACCGTGATCTCTGGGGATCACATAGTGATCTCACAAGATCACACCACACAATGATCTCACAAGATCACATAATGATCTCACAGGATCACACAATGATCTCTGAGAGATCATTGTGTGCTCTCACGAGACCTTCCAGGATCACACCGTGATCTCACAGGTCTACAGCATCACGCCATGATCTCTGAGGACCGCACCGTGATCTCACGAGATCACACCGTGATCATTCAGTATCACACCGTGGTCTCACAGGTCTACAACAGGATCACGCCATGATCTCTGAGGACCGCACCGTGATCTCACAAGATCACACCGTGATCTTTCAGTATCACATCGTGATCTCACAGGTCTACAACAAGATCACGCCATGATCTCTCGGAGCGCGACCTCTCGGAACTCTACGGCTCATGCTTCACCTTCACATTGATGGACATGCATGCTTAGAGGACATACGCGTTACTCATTGAAGCTTACTTTTACGGTCCCCGATGCTCAACTATCTCAAGTTTTCACCACTTCACCACTTCACCACTTCACCACTTCACCATTGAATCAAGAATCAAGACTCAAGAAAGACGCAATCGCAAATCGCAAATCGCAAATCGCAAAATCGCAAAATCGCAATAGCGAATAGCGGAATAGCGGAATAGCGAGAGCGAGTAACGAAGCAATGAGAAATCTTAAGAACGGAACTCAAATTCTCGCGAGATTCCCCATGTGTGATCCTGAGATCACGGTGCGATCCTGTGAGATCACGGTGCGATCCTGTGAGATCACGGTGCGATCCTTTGAGATCACGGCGCTACCCTGTGAGATCACGGCGCTACCCTGTGAGATCACGGCGCTACCCTGTGAGATCACGGTGCGATCCTGTGAGATCATGGTGCGATCCTGTGAGATCAGTGGTGCGATCCTGTGAGATCACGGTGCGATCCTGTGAGATCAAGGTGCGATCCTGTGAGATC